AGAAAATTAGTTGTTTATACAGGTAATTACGGTTAATACTCCATTGGTGCGTGAGAATGAGAAATATTGCGTGACTCGATTCAATAGTTTCTTCACTCTCTATTACTTACGATTGAGTCAAGTACTTCGAGTCTTTCATTCCGAGAGATTCCGGAAATTCTTTGAATTCCTCCAGGTGATTTCGGGAATATTTAATGAATTCACTATTTTCTGGTCTCTATGGCAATGAAAAATATTGAAAATTGTGGGAATTGAAGAAATTATTACTCTGAATTCTTGATCTATTGAGGATTCGATAGGATGTAATCACGAACTCTAATAATGAGTCTGAAAATTTAAGCTGTCGCTATTATTCAATTTTCATTGTGAATAAAATTGTTCATGAATTCCTGAGGTTGAATTCGGGATTATTCCCTGAAAAATTGATATCTCGATGGAATCCCTTTCAGCGCATTTCATTCCGGCGGCTCTTCTCTTCGTCGCTGGTTACGCAGGGTGTCAAGCACTGGGTGCAGCCTGGTTAGGAATAGCTGCCCTTCTGGTCTCCGGAACAGCTCCAGCTGGGGCATTAGCTGCGATAGCTGATCTCGCACCTGAAGAATCCCCTTCATGTGCAGCAGCCGCTTGTGCACTGTGCTCTACACTAGGTGCAGCAGGACTCCTAGCCGCCAATTATTTCGTCACGCAGGCACTTCATGGATCGGTAATACCCCACAAAATAGTTCTCCTCACTCCTATTTTTTCCATTTAATTTTCATTTAAGGTGTTAGCTTGACACAAAGAATACAAAATTAGTATTCAACCCATAGAAATGCCAGACGAAAATAATACAATATAATACATAATCAGTCAATCTTTCCTTCAAATGAAACATTGAGGAATGAATTTATAACAGATCGCGGGTTCCTGGCGGTTGGTCTTCGGCGTGGCTTCACTAGTTCTTCTCGTAACTGCGGCTGTCTTCCTCGCCCTGGGAAAGGGCGTACCTCAGCCCTGGATACCCTCCGTAGCTAGACCACGCAGTCATGATGTTATTTACGAGCAAGATGCCCTTGAACTGGATTACGAGGATGTTGGTGTGCAAACCGAGCCATACGATCTTTACGAGGTGGAAGACGTCGAGAGCCTCAAAGAGGTCCCACGATCGTCCTCCATCCACTCAAAACACTCCGTCGAGTCGACCAACTGAACTGGGAAGTAAATGGCTGTAGTTATAACTTATTATAACTTATCATTCATCCTGCGGAAGTGATGGGTATTACGGGGGCATTAAACAGTTTTCCCATCCATGGGAAATGTATTTGTCTTATCGACGTCAGGTCGTTTGAAATCATCCCATCAATGGGATTACGTAAAAGTATTTGACGTTCGGAAAAAATTGTCGGTTAACGCAGGGCTTTCATCGAGGAATTCTACTCAATTGAAACCAGTAGAACAAGTAATACATAAAAAAATTCTGCCAAGTAATTCTTAAACGAAAAGTTACGACACAATGAGTTATACGGGAAGATCACCATCGGCAAATAATTTTTAATAACATTCGGCCAAAAATAAATATATTGCAATATTGCCACAGAATTCTGATTGAATTCTTTGAGAATTATTATGAATTTTAAATAGAAATTTAGAATTTCTCAAAGAAAGCGCATAATTTTTCTATTAATTTTTTTCGTACCTGTTCTTTCTCGGTTAAGTAGAATAAACTATTTGTTATAATTGTGGATTTTTCATTACTGTTAATTAAGAATATTTATCTGAAAGACCAATAGCTCGAGGCTATTACCCTGATATAGAATAAAAAATATCTACGAAATGTTATTAATTGACAGAAAATTGCAATGATTTATTATTCTCTATCGTGAAGCAATTTAAATTTAGCAAGTAATGATGGAAATAATGATTCATCGAGCTGGAGATTGCCACCGGAATTCCCACCACCCAGAATCCGGTC